AAGACATTACAGGTTGTTTTTTACAATAAAATATATAAAATCGTGATAAATGCTTGTGATAAAAATATATATAAAATGTGAAAAACTACATTTCACAATTGATATAACTGTTTATATATAAATTCGTTTTGTAAAATAAATTTAAAACAAATAAAAGTAAAAGCAAATAAAAGAAATAAGTTGTGCTAGTTTATATTTTTTTACTAAAAAAGAAAAAGAAAATTTAAGTCTGTAGATAATAAAAAACGCTTTGATTCAGATTTAAACTGTTCAAGTGTATTTCTTTTGATAGTAACAACCTGGGGGAAAAATTTCCACAATTAAAGTTGGATTGAGTATGAACTTAACTTTAATGTAAATTTTGGGATGAAAAAGTTGTTATATGAGAATCTAGTAGGGTATTCGTTCGGGACGGCTCTGGTCGTAACAACCACTCTAACAGAAATGAAAATTATTTTTTTTTTCAAATTTATTTATTGATAGCTATTCAGAAAACTGTTGTCTGAAATGAACTAATTTCAATTAGTCTATTCCAGACATCAGTTATTCCTTTATTATTCTATTATCTAACAATTATTCTAGTTAGTCGTTTCAAGAAATAAAATTCATCTTGGTTAGATTGGTCTTTAACAACAACCACGTTGAATAAAAGAAGCAAAATTACAAAACTTAGAATAAAACTGCAAAATGCAGAGCCATTTAAAAGCAAGATCAATAAACCAGACCAGACAATCTTTTAAAATAGCTCATGTAAATAACATTAAGATTAATTTAAAAAAATAATAAAGTTAAAAAAGTAAGAGTAATCAACTTAAAAAAAGTTTATAACTTTTTATAACCTCAACAACCGCTTATTTAAATTTAATATTTAATATAGCAAATTTAAAAGGATGGTTTAAAAAAGGACACTTTCAAATTTAAAATTATATGGTCGATTGTGAAGAAAAGTGTCTTGATGTTATTTTATCGTACAGATGAAATAACGTTAAGTTCTTTTTATTTTAGTAAATTTTTGTTACTTTTTTTATCTTATATTTTAAAAAATTTAAAGTAACAAAGTTAATAAAAAATCACAATATTTAGACAACTAGATTCCAATCACATATTTAAAATCAGGCTCGTAGCAAGCATTTTTTGCAAGCGTTTTTGTTTTGAGAATTTAACTTTATGTAACGACAAGGAGCAAACTCCACACATTTATATATTCATGTTTATGTAAAGCTTTTCAAAAGTATTGCGGTAATCAGAGTCTGTTAACAATAAACCCCTAAACTGTTAACTTCCCATTTCATCGCTATTTTCTAATAGGATTTCATGTCATTAGTGTTAGAGCGATGAGTTTATAACATTTATATATAGGTACATTTAACATTTTAAACTAAATTTAAGTTCATTAAGACCAAAAGTCTCTAATGTCATGCAATAATCTCTTAGTGTTCAAAGATTTGTTTTTACTTTTAACATAAAAAAATTCCTACTTAAAAAATATTATTTTATTTTTAAATTTAGTTTACATTTGGTAGCATATAACTTTTATGTAATTTACTTTGTATTGTGATTTATTTAGTCATCCAGATACTTGCCATACTGGCGTTTTGATAATGATTTAGAAAGCTGTTTTTGGATAAATGTTCATAAAACGTTGATTGAAACATTGAAATGTTTATAAAACTTTGATTATTAAATTGCAGTGATGTTTTGATAATGATTTAGAAAGTTGCATAAATTTTTTGGAAAATTGTTAATGAGGCATTGGGTTACTAATCTACTAAATGCGACATTAAGTTTTGATAATCGGTCAGTTTTTCTTTTAGTCAGAATGACCTATGTCCAGTTAAGATTAATTTCAAGCGGCCCTAGCCCTTAACCAGCCTTGAGATTCATGCCATGTACGTCCATTATGCCATTCTGTGACGAATTAGATTTTTGATGTATGATTGAGGATTTCAAATCGCTTTTTCTCAAAATGTTGAAAAATATACATAATAGAAAAGAAATAAATAGCAAAAAAGACTTTTAATTGTTAAAATTAAAGTTTTAAAGTTTTTGCAAGCAAATACTTTTTTTTTTTTTTTTTTTTTTTTGTTGCCTCCACAACAAAAAAAGTTTGCCCTAGCAGGACAGACTTATTAATTTTTTTCTTTATTAAGTTTCAGAGCTTATTAGGAATAACTACCTGATTAGATTTAATAACATAAGTATTTCTATCATGATATTTGCGCAACAAATTTTTCAGTGTTTGATATTTTTAGAAATTTGTCGTTTGTTATAGTATATTATATCTTTATATATGTTATGCATATAATATCTAAAAATTTCAAAAATGTTTTAAAAATTTTGTATTTTAAAAAATCGAATGGTCGAGTGGTAGGATTAAAAGCACGGCGATGTATTTTTGAGCTAACCACTTCGGCCATTAAGGCGTATTTTCCGATAAAATTTTTGACATTATTTAATTAAAAAAATGACTTTTTCAAAAATTCTCTCCCTTTCGTTTGTTATAGTATATGATATTTATAAAACTACAAAAGTGTTTTTTTTTTTTTTTTTTTTGTGTTTTAAAAATAAAATTAAAAAGCAAAAAGTAAATTTAAAAAGGTTTATGAATAAAAGTGCAAAATTTGGGATTTGAACTACAGCATTTTGTATCAGAAACGCTTCAGCCTAATCCTTCGGCCATTTTGGTGTATTGTACGTTTCAGCCTAATCCTTCGGCCATTTTGGTGTATCTACGCACGTTTTAATAGTATTTAATAAACAAAAGACAAAACGGCAAATAAATGCTATAAATTAAAATTAAAGAGATATTGCCGCAATGCTATTTTTTAGTGAAAATGTAAAACTTGGTACATTTTTGGGATTACATTGTTTGAAGTTTACATAAGTTAGATATTTGCAGACACTTTCATTCAAATTTTCTTATAAAAGAAAGTGCTGCGACTCTTTATCGTCATTACCTTGGTTGCGATGGCTGCCGTGTCAATCACTTACGAATGAAAATTGACATGTTGCTCAATATATAATATGATTATGATTATTTTATGCCAACTTCCAACAACGTTTTTAATAACTGGAAATACGGCAAAGTATTTCGCAAGAAAACCAGTAAACTTTATACTCAATATACAGAACAAATAAGTCAAGAAAAGAGGAATGGAATTTCAAAAATGACGACGAAAGCTTAAACTGGACTTGTAAAAAGAATGTTCCCAATCTGTGGTCTGTGAAAATTTCTGGGAAATTTTCATTCCTAATACAAAGTATATATGTAATGTTAACTCTTTCTTTTTTCGTCGAGCTGCTAGTGCTGCTCAACGAAAAAAGAAACAGCTAGCATTGCTTGGTAAGCTTTCTCCGCAAAAAAAGAAAATTTTCGAGATAAAACAGTCAAAAAAATAAAAAATCATTCTAGTAAAAAAAAAAGAGTAGTGAAAATGTTTTTGCAGACATTGATATTGTTTATATGCAGTTGCATAGCAAAGGGCCCGCAGCTACTCTAATGCTTATAAGTAGTTTTCTTATGAACTTTGTATTAGGAATGAACATTTTCCGGAAGTTTTCAACTTAGGAAATATTTTGGAAAATTTCAAGAAATTTTCTAAAAAAAATTAGTTAAATATTATTTGCACCCTTATCCTTAAAATGGGAGCGATATTTTTTTATGTCTATTAAAATGGTCTACAAATGATTGAAAACTGTAAATCTGTATGTAAAAAGACTTGATCGAATATATACAGTATTTTACAACTTGTTTTAGATTTAACGACTTATTGATTTATGGAAGGCAAAAAGTAAAGAAACATTTTTGATAAATTTGAACTAAAAATATACTTAGCTATAAAAATAACGAACTGATGATTTTGAGGCCAAAAATCCTGCCGCTAAGTTTAAATAAGTGCAGTTAAGACTTGAGTTTCACCCGCCACAACTTTTCTAGGGTACTTTTGACTTTATAAATCAATAAATTAAAAAATTATATAATTTTTTAAAGTATAGCATATGCATTACTATAAAATGAATTAAATTTTTACCGTAATTTCAACCCTACCTTGTATGCAGTTAAACTATATACTATTTATTAATTAGTAAAATATTGCTCCCAAAGGAAATATAAGTATAGATATTTTACTTCCTCGCAGAGGCGATTCTACATATAAAATGAGAGAGGGGAGGGGGTTAAATCCTTAAAAAGTACCAACTGGCTTCGTCAAAAAAAATAAAAAAGGTCCTGAAAATTAAATTTTAGCCGGCTGAATTGTGTCAAATACCTGACTAGCCGACTAAATTAGTAAAAAAACAGACAATACCCGACGGGCATTTGTTTTTAAAAGTTACGTTCTAAATGTGTTTTAAATGTCTTTTAAACGTCTTTTAAACATTAATGTTTAAAAGACGTTTAAAAGACATTTAAAATACATTTAGATCGTAACTTTTAAAAAGAAATGCCCGTCGGGTATTTTGAAAATCACCCTTTTTTTTCTTTTTTTTTCTTTTTTTTTTTTTTTTTTTTGAGGGGGGGGGGGGGAAGGGGGGGGGATAATGTACCCCACCCCCTCCCAAAATAAATAAATAAATGAATAAATAACAACAACAACAAAAAAAAAAATCTTACACACCCCCGTAAAATTGCCTCTACCTCCTGCTTTCCAGTTTTAAAAATACTGAATCAAAAGCTAATATTTTTCAAATCTTTTTTTTTATAAAGTTACTTTATTAGAGTATATAATTTAAATATTTTTTCTCGATATATATTCTGCGATCTATCTATATTCGATATATATTCTGCGATCTAAGGCAAACTTTTTTGTTTTTAATTTTTTTAAATGGCTTTTAAAGGGTTATTTTAACGGGTTATTTCGGTCTAGGATATAAGAAAATCTTTGTTTTTTTCGCTGTTTTTGGTTGCGGGTGACTAACAAAAAAGTTGCGCGAAAATTTAAACTATGTGAGCTATTGTTTATTTTACACTGTAAATGGTACTGAATCTTTATTTGATTAGTTTTTTAAATTAAATTATGAGTTTCCGAAACCAGATAAATAAGTTATTATCTACCTGGTATCTATCTGGTTATAGTTACTTAATTTGTTTACATAAACAAATTAAGTATTACAAAATTTCTTTCTATGTATTTATGGTAACTATGTAGAATTTTATTCTTTGTTGAATTTTATTCATTTATTGAATTTTTTAATGGCTTTTTTGTTGCATTTTTCATTATTTGTTTATTTTTTTATAAATTGCATTTTTTAAATTACTTAAAAGTTGTTTTAATTACTGCTTATTGTATGAAGTAAATTCGTTCTAATAAAACTTAAGTCTTAAGTTTTATTAGAACGAATTTAAGATCTCAAGTTAAGATGAAATAAAATCTTAAGTTAAGATGACTAGATAATAGCAAACAAAATTAAAAATTAGGTAAAGCTTCAGTCAAGCGTCCTAAAATGATTTTATTTTTTCGCTTGTTTGCTTTTGTCAGTAGAGACTTTTTAAACATAAAGAATATTTATTGGCTTCAGTACATACATTGACTATCTTATAGCCTACTGCTACAAAGGATCGTTGCAACATTGACAATCTTAGAGCCTGCTGCTACAAGGAAGTGCCACTACATCGACTGAGGGTTTGGCATGGGGCAGCAATCTTTTTTTATTTTAATTAATATTCCTTATGTTTAAAAAGCCTCCACTGATAAGAGCGCAACAAGGGAAAACAAAACTTACTTTAGAACACCTAATTGTAGGGTTACCTAAAATTTAGTTAAAAACAAGAAATAGTTTAGTTTACAAAAGCTGGTATGGCTGAATATGCATATCTATATACTAGATATAGCAGGAGTAAATGAGTGCAAAAACAGAGATATAGCAGGAGTAAATGAGTGCAAAAACAGAGAAAAGCTCTCCTATAATGAAATGGAAAATCATGCAAAAAACTCCTCTAAAAACCTTTTTACAAGAGCTTTTGGTTTTGCACAAGCTATCTGTTTTTTTATTAAATAATTGCTTATTAAATACAAAATTTACTTAAGTTACTAGAGTATTATTAATTTATTTTTTCACAATAGGTTTTTTTTAAGTAACTAGTTTTTTGTTTAAGAAACTAATCTAATCCAATCTAATATTTAAGAAACTAATCAGTAAGTCGAAATATATTGTTATTGCTGTTGTTGTTGTTAATTAAAAACGTTTGCATTTTAACTGGCGCTTTTTTTTAATTTTTTTATTTTTGTAATAACCTTGCCTTAATAAAACATTGCAGTTTATTATGCAATTGTTTTTCTATTTTTAAAATTTTTTTATCTTAGTTACAACGATAATACTTTTCTTTTATAACCAATTTTGCAAACTTGACTATCTTGTCATTAATGTTATGATATTGCACAGTATTTTTTCACACAAACAATTTTAGAAAAAAAAAAAATTTCAGTACTGCATATCTGTGTTTAAAAAGAAAATAAAATCTTTTTTTTTACAAATTTTACTATAACTTTATAGTATAATTATGTAATATTTTTATTCACATATATAATACAAAATTCTGCTTTGCAAAATAAAATTGTTTTAGTATAAAATAACTTATATTACTATATTGACAAGTTGTAAGCCTGTATAGTTATATAATTGTATAAGTTGTATAGTTAAAAATAATAATTGTATAAGTTGTATAGTTAAAATATATAGTTAAAATATATAGTTAAAATATAATCCCAAGCTCTACAAAAAAATCAGTAACTGTTACGAAAAATAAATAAACATTTTTTTGTAAGCAAAAAAAGTCAATCTGAAACTCAAACTTTGCCTTTTTTATTTTATGTAGTTTGCACAAGTTTTAAAGTTTTCTAATCATTATTTAAAAAAAAGAAAAGAAGTAGTTTATAATTATGAAAAAAATTATACTTTTGCAAAAGCCATAAATTGCTCTCGTAAACCACTTTAGGGGAGTTGAAAAAATAAATATTATTACGCTCTAAATTATTGCATGAAAATTTTTATTTTATGTATAAATTATATTTTTTATATTAATTACTTTAATATATTATTCACTTTTTTTGTGGAATTTTTAATTGTTTTAATGATTCTTTAAATGCCTGCATTCTATTTCAATATGAAAATATAAAACAATTTTATAGCTCTTAGAATATTTTTTTATAAAATAAATAATGTTAATAAATAAATGGATAGCTAGTGTGAAAACCCAAAAACAACGCTTGTTTAAAGAATATTTTCATGGTGTAATAAATGACCCTTGTTTGTGTACATGGTGGGAGTTGATGAAATAGTCTTAAATTTGATAATTTGTTACCTCTGCTGGTCAACTCAATTTTCATTGTAATGACATAAAAAAAAATTTATTTATTAGTTGTTCAATTTTTGTCGTTTTCCCTATTTCATTATGCCTTTTGTCATTATGATAGTTTGTTTTAATCTGGCCCTTGTCGCTGCCTTAATGATCATGTTTTGCTATGGGGGTTGCAGTTGTTGGGCTTTGTTGCCTATAGTTTGACTTCTTGAAGATGTGCTGGTTAATCTTAGTGGTGTACCAGGTGATCCAAGAGCATTGGCTGATGCGTGGAATCACACTCATTGTTGTTACCAGGGCTGTGGAGTCGGAGTTGCGGAGTTGCAACATTTTTAGCGGAGTCGGAGTCGCTAAACAAAATCGCGACTCCGACTCCAATAGTCCCTATTGCACGTGCATGTACAAAACATTCAATTAACCTTATGTTCATACTAAACCTCAAAGAACGTATCATAAATTTGTCAAAAAAGAAACTTTTAACTTATTGCATAATATTTTTTAAGAGTTCAACGAATTTTTTAAAAATTATGCTTTGGAGTTGGAGTCGGAGTCAGAGTTGGAGTCAGAGTTGGAGTTGTGCTAAAAAAAATTTAAAAACTGTCGTTAGTTTTTTTTTACGACTTTTAGAAATGGAGTCGTTAGTTTTTTTTTACGACTCCACACCCCTGGTTGTTACCATATGTAGCTGGACAAGAGTCTGTGTGCATTGTGGGGGTTGATGAAATGATCTCAAATATAATAGTTGGTGACCTCCACGGGTCAACTAATTTTATTTGAACAACTTAAACATAAATTTATTCAATAATTGTTTTTCGGCATGTTTATTATTATCCATAACTTTGTTTTTGTTTTTGCTCTGTGTCATTATAGCAGTTTTTAGTCTGGTCTTTGTCGCTGCTCAAATGTTACTTTCTGTTATGAGGGTTGACATGAGGTTATTGACTTGAGGATGTACTGGTTAATCTTAGTGATCTACCAGATAATTCTACTGGTCTCATGCAGTTGATTGTATTTATTTTCTCCCCTCCCCACAACTCTTTTGAAAGACTGTTACTTCTTCGGAATGTTTTCCAGAACTTTCTATTTACCTTTTAATATACCTTCTTCAAACACAATATCATCAACTAATCACTTTATACTTTTACCTACCAATTGATTTGCACTTTCATTTACCAATCACATATACATCTGTTAAAATTTAATTCGAAGAGCATATTTTCTGTTGTTTCTGCTTTTCAATGTTTAACCGAAACATGTGTGACCATCTTGGTACATATTTATTAAACTTATATATCTGCTCATTCGTGTTGCACGAACAGTCCACTTCAGTATCATCAATTTAAAAACTAGTTTCTTTTGTTCAATTAAGAAATGCTAAGAAGCATGTTCATTTTTTATTTAATATTTATTATCTTTAGGGTATATAATGTTCTATAGGTTGCTTTTGGGTAGAAATAGTTAATATAAATACAAAATAAGTATTCAGCACTTACTAGGACATTTGGTATTATTTTTTAGATTTAGTAGTTATTGACTACCTATTGTGCAATAAGTTCTACTAGCTTTTTTATAAGTGTATCAGTGTGTATCTTAAATCTTAAAAAAGAGAGAGAGTTAGGGTGTTTGGCTCAGCAGTAGTATGCCCTATCAAATGTTGCAACAAAGATAAACAGATTTATTCTGTTTATAGCTATATGTAAAATGAATATTTCCACTAATTCATATTTTTATAAAATTATTATTTTTAAATTATAAAATTCATATTTTTATAAAACAAATTACTCCACTGAAACAATATAAATTATAATTAAATCTGTACTAAGTATAAAACAAGTAATTACATTTTAACAGCATAAATTCTGATTAAATGTAAACTAAGCGTAAAACAAATACTTATATTTAATCAGTTTAGTTTAAGTATTAGTTATAATTAAATATGAACTAAGTATTAAACGAATAACTCCACTAAAATTGTATACATTTTTAAAATGAATAACTCCGCTAAAACAGTTTAAGTCACAATTTTATATAAACTAAGTATATACTAAGCATGATAAAAATTACTCGACAAAATCGGAATAATTTAATATAAACTAAGTATAATAAGAACAACTCCACTTATAGGGTTTTATTTTTAACTTTTTTTAAAGAAACAACGAATAACCCCACTAAAACGTTATAAATTATAGTTTTATGTAAACAAAGTAAAATGCGTATTTCTCCTAGAAAACAGTATAAATTATAACTGTACATAAACTTGAGTTTACGTACAGTAATAATTTAATTTGAATAATATTGTTTATAATCAAATATAAACCAAAAAAATATAAATTGTACAAACTATAACTAAATATGAACTATATATAAAACAGTTAAAGGGTATAAGTTATAATTAATTATGTACATAAGTTTATGTACATAAACTTGAGTTTATGTACAGTTATAATTTAATTTGAATAATATTGTGATTAAATATTAACTTAGTATAAAATGAATATTTCCAGATTAAGGGTATATATAGTATAATTACATTTAAACTATGTATAAAATATATAATTCCACTACTACGGTATACATTTTTAAATACTTAACACTTCGATAATGCGGTTTTAAATTATTATTAAGTATATTTATATATATTAGGGGCTATCCTAAGGAAATAATTTGGGCGGTGGTACCTACCCGGTGCCATAATGAAATTTGCTGTATGTAGCCGTTTTTTTGCTAAAAAAACATTTTCCATATAAAAAAAAAAGGTCCTCAATTTCTGAACTTAGGCGGCACCCAAATACGGTCAGGCTTTCGAAAAAGGTCTAGAATAGCCTTTATATATATATATATATATATATATATATATATATATATATATATATATATATATATATATATATATATATATATATATATATATATATATATATATATATATATATATATATATATATGTATATATATATATATATATATGTATATATATATATATATATATATATATATATATATATATACATATATATATATATATATATATATATATATATATATATATATATATATATATATATTATTATTATTATTGTTATTATTATTATTATTGAGTTGTGTTGTATTCTGTTGGATTTAATACAGCTTTTTGTCGGTTTAAGAGTGATCGATATTTATAAAATAGATCAAAATATATTAAATATTTAAATGAAAAAAATACAACTTTTTTATGTCACATATATATATATATATATATATATATATATATATATATATATATATGTATATATATATATATATACATATATATATATATATACATATATATACTTATATATATATATATATATATATATATATATATATATATATATATATATATATATATATATATATATATATATATATATATATACACATATGTGTATTTGTGTGTGTGTAGATTTAGATATGTATAATGGTTCTATTTTAAATAACATAGTTATGTTTCCATATTGATTCATATAGGCATGTACAATAAATATGGTAATGTCTGCACGCTGTTTCAATGTAACTGCTGCTAAACGAGAAAATGTTGACCAAGAAAAATCAAGTAATGTCAAAGTTGTAGTTCGTGTTCGTCCTCCTAATATAAAAGAATTAATTGCTGGAAAAAATAATATTATAAAAGTAACAAACGAATATATGTTAACATTTGATCCTAAAGAAGATGACATTTTTAATATTGAAAACAAAAACAGAACTTTATTGTTTGATAAGCGAATTCGAGATCTTCAATTTACTTTTGATCGCATTTTTGATGAAAAAAGTACAAACAATGATATCTTTGAGTTCACTACAAAACCAGTAATTGACAGTTTGTTGAGTGGTTATAATTGTTCTGTGTTTGCCTATGGTGCTACATCTGCTGGAAAAACTCATACCATGCTTGGTTCACCGGATAAACCTGGTGTCATATTTCTTACTATGATGGAACTCTACAAAAGGTTGATGAAAAATCAAAATGAATACGATGCTGACATTTCAGTATCATATCTTGAGGTAATTTTTAGATATTAGTTGTATGTATTTCTTTTTTGATTTTTTTAAAGCAAATCTGGAATAGAATTTTTTTTTATTTTTAATGTTTTTAGATTTATAATGAAACTTGCAAAGATTTACTTTTACCTAAAGGACCTCTAGCTGTTAGAGAAGATTCTGAAAAAGGTGTTTGTATTAATGGTCTTTCACTTCATAAGGTATGTTCAAAATTTTGCATATTAAATAGTAGACATACTATTTAATATGCAAAATAATTTTATAAACAACTTACATTTTAGGTTCTAATTTTTTTAAAGAAGAAAAACTTTCTTTTTTTTCTCTTAAACCTCTTTCATAACTTAAAACAACCTACTGCCTTCTTTCTCCCTGAGCAACACATCACATAGTTTTATGGTGTCAACACCTATCCCAGTTATAGCATTGTATAATTTGTGATGTGTTATTCAAAAATTCTTATAATTCTCTCTTTTTTTATTATTTGGTTTTCAATAAATCATTACCCCAAGGCTATGGAGGCCACTGCAATTGAGGAGGTTACTTTTAGTTGTGGTTACAACCCTTTTTCAACTCTATAACTCCGAAACACTAACCTTGATGAACAAAGCAGCTGCAGGGAGAAACAAGTTGAGCGCATTACTACCAGGGGTGTGATGGGGATTGAACTTAGAACTTCTTGCTTATGATGTGAGCGCTCTACTACTACACCGCTACACCGCAATTATTTTAAGGTTGTTGATCAACACTGATCAGCTGAAATAAAAAATATTGAAAAGTAGATAGTAAAATTTTTTTCCGGATGATCAAATTTAAGTTTTGTATTTTACGCCTAAATTTTGTCATTACATCTATTAAATTTGTGCATTATTTAAAAAAGGGTCATATTGTTATCAGGTCTGATAATCCACAAAAAAAAAAAAAAAAAAAATACTGAAACATAAAGTTGTTATTTATAAAACACCCTCTAAGAAAAAAGTATTTTTTTTTTTCTTAGATGGTGGTTTAGATATGATTTCTTATTAAAAATATTTTTTCCTTGCGGGTTTTTTTTCCATCATGAAATAAAATTGCAATAAAAAAAACTAATAGATAAAAATATCATTTTTGTTAAAAAATTATTATTTTTGTGTGATTTAAAATAATATGAAAAGATCTTTTTTAGAAAAAAGTAAAAAGTTTTTCTTTGCAAGTGATTCAGATACTAATTTTATTATTGAATGAAATAATTGTCCATTGTATTTTGTTTTTTTATTTGTCACTGCTTATTAATACCTACTATTTTTTTATACTGTTTTGTATTTGAAGTATCATAGTTAAAAAGAATTCAAACAAATAATAAAATACTAATAAAACAGGCTGGAAGTAGAAACTAAAAAAAGGAAAATAAAAATAATATTAATATTGAATTGTCATAGTTACAGTGATTGTTAAAAGTCAAGTGAAAAGAAAGTTACATATTGCAAAGTTTTGTTAAGAGTCCGAGTATTATGTTTACAGAAAAACAATGGATTGTTGTTTAATAAATTGGACAAATTGTAGCAGTTTTTAAGAGAGCAGTATGTCTACAAGTTTATAAAGGTAGCAAGTATTTCATGTTTACTTGCAAAAAAGAGAATGTTTACAAGTCTGTCATGTTTGATGTTGTTGTTTGTACAATGGATCCATCTTCAAAGAACAAATGAGATAAGTATAGTTACAAAAATGTTGTTCATAAAGTAATTCATTAAACTGCATTGTCTTATATACCAGACTATTATATGATAATAATTTGGAACATATCTTAGAGCCTGTTAACTAAGTTGCTTGAGTATTAGTCCCTATTAATTAAGTTGCTTAAATGTTACTATGTTAGTGGTTGATAATTGTATTACTAGTCAGATGCTATTCTAGACCATTTTTGACAGCGTTGTTGTAAAGTGACATCTCTTTAAAGTTTTTCTTTAAGCTTCTTATAGTTTAAGCTTCTTTAAGTTATAAATCTTTATTATAGATTCTATTTTGAACTATTCCTTTTCTAAGAAAGATTTGATTTATTTTTAAGATTTTCTAAATTTTTGAATCATATAAAAGCCATCCATATCTGCTCATTTAAGGATTTTATTTTTCTATTCATCAAATAAAGAATTAAACAAAGAATTGTGCATGTGTAAATAATGGTGTATGAAAATGTGTATGAAATGGTGTATGAAATACAGAAGTGGTGAAGTGGCAGAACGCTTGCTTCATGAACAAGAGGTTTTGAGTTTTCAACTTCTTTGGTAGTACTAGTTTTGACGAGGTGATAATTAAAAATATTTTCCAACCAGTTGTGTATGGAAATAAATAGTACTGCAACAGAATTAAGTTTTTTTAAAAAAGTACAAAGTTTATTTAGATACTTATTGTTATTTTATTAGTATTTGTTGTTAGTTTATTAAATTTTTAGATTGTTTTTTTTTAATTATTTTCATTTTTTAATATATTTTATTAATTTTGTCTTTAACATCTATGCTTCGTTTGTGTGGTTTAAACGAGTTGAAATATTATAGATTCTGGTTTTGGTTTTAGTATGTGTCTGTCAGTGTCATTTGTCATGTGTCATTTGTCGTTTGTCATGTGTCATTTGTCATGTATTATTTGTCATGTGTCAGTGTCATTTGTCATGTGTCATTTTTAAAATATTTTTTGCTCAGAAAAAAAAATTATTCTACTCTAATTTTTTAACACTAATTATTGCAAACATATATTTTATGTGTTTTTTTTTTTCATGTTATTTTTATATACTTTCATAATTTTATCTATTGTATTTTCTTTTTAAATACTTTTTTTATAGTGTTATATTTTTATATGTTTATTCTTTAATACATTATGTTTTTTTGTTATATTATTTATTTAACTATGTATTATTTATTTGACTATTAAATTCCTCTCTAGCCACGCAGTGCCGAAGAGTTACTTGAAATGCTGCATTTCGGAAATCAGAACAGATCACAGCATCCAACTGATGCCAATCAGCAATCATCTCGATCCCATGCAATTTTTCAGGTTTTTTATATTTTTTATAATTTTTTTCAATAAGTGTTAATATCATAATCATGTCATAATGAGCAGAATCACATAAACAAGTTCATAACATAAACATTTTCTTTTAAAATTATTCCAAGATTGTCAAGAAGCAATTAACCAAGTATATCATTTGCTTTTTTCAGTATTTGATTTTCATCATCTGATTGAAATTAATTATATTATTTTTTAAAGTTGAATGATGTAAATTCTTAATTAGTTTGTGTGAAGCTCATAAAAGTTAATACACTTGACCTCTATAAAAATGTATAGGTCTTTTCTAAATTTATGCGAAAATGACAATTAATATGGTATAGCGCTTTAGGTTTGGGTGCTGCACTAGAATTATTAATGTTCAAATTCATTTTCTTGTTAATATTTTTTATGTATATTGTTTACATCAGTTGCTTTGTAGTCAAACTGCATGTTTTTTTAAATCAGGAAACAAATTTGGATGATTTTATCAGAATTTCTGTTATATATATATATATATATATATATATATATATATATATATATATATATATATATATATATATATATATATATATATATATATATATATATATATATATATATAACAGAAATTCTGATAAAATCATCATTTTTTAAATCAGGAAACAAATTTGGATGATTTTATCAGAATTTCTGTTATATATATATATATATATATATATATATATATATATATATATATATATATATATATATATATATATATATATATATATATATATATATATATATATATATATATATATATATATATATATATATATATATATATATATATATATATATATATATATATATATATATATATGTATATATATATATATATATTTATATACAATAAACTCCCAGTTATTCGAGCCTCTAAGGGGAACAAGAATTTACTTCAAATAACCAAAAGTTCGAGTAACTGAAAATCTTCTTTAAAGTGACTAATTAAATTTTAACAGTAGTAGAAAGTAAAAATGAAGAACTAAAGAATTAAAATCTTTACAATTTTTCAAAAAAATTGTCCATTTTTGATTGCTTTTTTGCCTCTAAAGTAACATGTTTTGAAATGCAATGGAATGGTATCTTCAAACAAACAAAAACTTTGAATAACTGACAGGGTTTTAGTCATGGGTAGTAAAAAATTGTTTCTAATAATTGATGGGTATTTGCGTGGGTTTGTTGAGGAAAATTCGAGAGGAATTAAAATTTCTTCGAATAAGTGCCAGTTCCAATAACCGGGAGTTTACTATATATATATATATATATATATATATATATATATATATATATATATATATATATATATATATATACACACACACATATACACTTTTTTGGTCCTTCATGATGTACAGGGGTGTGCTAAAGTTTCAGACCAGTTACATTTTTAGTGTCATTTACCTTTGAAAATAATTTTTTAATGAAATTTTATAACTTTGTTGACGGCTGAGGATTAACCACTTGATAAAAAAAATAAAATTATTTAAGTTGCAAAACCTAACGCAGAGTTGCAATAGCAGAAATATAACAATAAAAAATTTTAAATAGTTAATTTACGTCAACAAACTTTTTGCAATTTTTACCTTACCCCCTCCGTACTATACAATAGTATGAGGATTAACTACTTAATAAAAAAAATAAAATTGTTTAATTATTTATTATTTATTACATTTTTAGTGTCATAATTGTTTTACTTAGATTCTGTACATAATTACATTTATGTACATTCAATTGAAATATTGTTAGTAAAGTTTTTGTCTCTAAGTTTTATTGTACAATGTTTCAAACTTAATAATATTAAAAATATTGGTAATAATAATAAGAACAATTACTATAAAAATAGTAGTAATTATAAGAATAAATTTTGTAATGTGAAACTTCTAGAAGTTTCTGCATGCTTCTGGAAACTTCTGGATACATCCTTTAATTATTAAAAAACTTCTGTGATGTTGACACGGACCAGACTTAAGAAAATGAAACAAACCAAAAAAGTTGCACTTGTTTTGTCTGCTGCAAAATGGCACTTGTCAACGAAATATGACTGTGTGCTGTCGCCTGTCAGCTGATTGCTCATGTCATGGCATGCTATGACTCTAGACTCCTGAACTCTTTGCTGTGGTAGTATAGTTCGTTTTGTTTTTAAGACATGTAAAATTAGGAACACTTTTTAGCATTGTTCGATGTTGGTTGCAAATGTTTTGTTCAATACTGTATAAAATAAAAATAAAAACATTTATTTTATGATTATTATTTATGACTAATTTTTTTGATTCTTTGAGTATATTAAGTAAATTTAAAAGTTGAGGAAATTACTTTAGTAACTTAATTGGTTGTTTTGATTTAGTGTAAAGGTAAATTTACTGATGTAATTTACTGATGTGATCCATTCAGTAAATCAAACTAAATATAACTTAAAATAATATTGGCTTCCACGTAGAGAACAAAAGTAATTTAAATTCAAAAGTGCTTTATTTTGAATAAAATCTCAGCGTAAGAGAGCAAAGATCACACTTCTATTCAAATGATAAGTTTATTGTGATGTACTCTCCCCTAATAAAAAACTTAGACAAAAAGATTACATTTAAGAATGACAAAAAAAAAATGCTAAATTAGAAAAGAAAAAAAAACGACAAAAAAACAAACAAGTTGCAAAAATTTTTTTTTTTGTGAAAAGCAATCACATTTTGCAATTGCAATACGCTTTGAGCCCTGTTTTATTTCATACTGTAAAGTATTAAGTTTTTAAAACTTAATACAAAGTTCTTTTCAATTTTTTCTCAAAATCAAAAAATCTAACCATGTAAATATGACTATGTTAAACTTTAACCAAGCTGTCTGGTGAATCATGAGATGTCATCAGTAAATCATTAGATGTCACTGTTAAATCATCAGATGTCACTGGTGAATCATCAACAAGTCACATCATCAGCAATCAATACAAGTAAAAGATGAATGAAAGATTTTATGATTTGACAAAATATTTTTTTATCTCATATAGGTATTTGTTCGACAATGTCCAAAAGACTCTGGACTTAGTGCAAATGTTAAATTGGCTAAAATGTCACTAATTGACTTAGCTGGATCTGAACGTGCTACAGTTACTACAAATCAAGGTGATCGCTTTCGTGAAGGTGCTAATATTAACAAATCACTTCTTGCCCTTGGGAATTGCATCAATGCATTGGCAGAAAATAAAGTATTTTTTTTTTTTTAAATTTTTGTAACCATGTAGAAAAAGAAAACATTTTTTTTTTTTAACAATACTTATCAAAGGGTCTTCTTCTTTTTTTATTATGATTAATTTCTTCTTATTTCATAATTATGAAATGAAATTTTTATGAAGGTAGTTATTTTTATGAAGGTAGTTATTTTTATGAAGGTAGTTATTTTTATGAAGGTAGTTATTTTTATGAAGTTAGTTATTTTTATGAAGGTAGTTATTTTTATGAAGGTAGTTATTTTTATAAAGGTAGTCATTTTTATGTAGGTAGTTATTTTTATAAAGGTAGTTATTTTTATGAAGGTAGTTATTTTTATGAAGGTAGTTATTTTTATGAATGTAGTTATTTTTATGAAGGTAGTTATTTTTATAAAGGTAGTTATTTTTATGAAGGTAGTTATTTTTATGAAGGTAGTTATTAGAAAAACATTTTATGAGGATACTTCTTAAGAAGTAACTTCTTTTCGTGACTTTCTGGTTGTTCTTTTAATTAATGACTTTTTTTCTTTAGAGCAATGTCCACATCCCTTATCGTAATAGTAAACTTACACGCTTACTTAAGGATTCTTTGGGAGGAAATTGCAAAACTATAATGATTGCAGCTGTCAGGTATTTTAATGAAAAAAGTGAAAAATTTAATTTAATTATAAAAGAAAATAATTTACATATGTATTATTTAGCCCATCCAGTTTAAGTTACGAGGACACATACAACACATTAAAATATGCCAATAGAGCAAAAAGTATTGAATCTACATTAACTTCAAATATTTTACATGTAGACTACCATGTCTCACAGTACGGAAAGATTGTTGAAGACCTCAAAGCACAGGTACATTTGTGTTGTTTATATGTTTATGCTCATATATGCATTTTTGTTAATTACATATTATTTTTCAAAGCGATTAACAATGCGGTGAACATATCACTTAAAAACAAATATTCTTATGATGGTTTAAAGATGTGCTTCCTCTAAAATAATGATATGTGATCTTAGTTTTTTTAAAATTTACTTTCCGAGACAAGGGTGTCACACAGTGGACCCAGAAGGCAAAGTGTTGAACAATATGTAAAACACATTGAAAACTTTTTATACATTTTTGGATAATTATATGTTGGTTATAAGAAAGTTTAAATTTTTAATATTAAATTTAATTAGTGGACTGAATTAAAATTACAATATTTGGGCATTTTTGACAAATTAATGTTTTGATCAATGTTATAAGTTAAATTTTTTTTAGACAACAGTTAAAAGAATAATTTATTAGATGTAATTAAAGAAAAGAAAATTCTATAAATAATTTTTCTGTTAAGTTTAGTACATAAAAACAAGTATTTGATCAAATTCGGATTTCAAATAATGCTAGTATGATAAAATTATAAGGAAAGAGTTCTAATTGTTTAATATTGCAATACTTAACGATAAAAAACTAAAAATAGTAAAAAATGTTAATAACTTCATAACTAATCATATATAATGTTTTCAAACATATTAATGCAATTTAAAACAGCAGGATCAAATAAAAAACGACTTATCGCATCTGTAAGTTATTCAAAATGCAATGTCTTCTAAGTGATGAAGGACTCCATAAAGAGTCCAGTTAATTTGTGCCATGAAACTACAAAATACTTGTGTAAGAAACTACAAAGTATTACACTGATTTGAAAATTAACATGCTTGTGCATAGTAGTAACATCTTTGTACATAGGAGTGCATAGATTTTTTATAGTAGATATTGATTCCTTTGAAAAAAAACTGCGGCCTCAGGACCCTGTTAAATGTCCCTCTTTTATCACCAGAGTTGCAATACATGTTTAATAATAGCCCTGTCTCTGGCATTACGCATTGGTTCAACTGGTCTAGTTTTTTTAACCCTGTCTTTAATTTATATGACATCTATACAGTAGTTTTAAAAACCAGGTAGTCCCATTTATATATAAATATGTAAAAAATATGTTTTTTAATTGGATTGGGTTTATGGTTTTTTAGTCATTCTTTTTCTTGCGTCAATCTCCAGTTTTAGTAGGAATGATACCATACTCACTAACTAGTTTTTTCATACAATATCCATCTTTCTTTTAATGATAGATTATTTGGGAATCCTTCACTAACTCTTTCTCTCAATATCATTCAGTAGTTTGCCACAGTGTCATGTTTCAGTGTCGTATTTTTACTATCTTGATGACATTTTAGTTTCAGGGGAATAAGACCATGTTGAAACATATCTGATTTACTTTCAATCATTTCTTTTGATTTTTTTGATGCTTGTTGTTATGGTCTATCACAGCCATCCTTAAAACACATTTGATACTTTTCATTATCTACTGGAATAAAAGAATCTTTGATTATATTCGAAACCAAATCAATTTTCTTGCTTACAAGTTCTTTGTATTGAACAGAAACACCTTTTGCATCCAAAACATGACTTTTAGGACGCATTTTTTTCCTTCCTTTAAGTAATTCATTGGTGGTTGGTAAAAGAAATTTTAATTTACTCATTTTCTTCCTACTTAGTGTAAGGAAATGCATTAAAGCTATGGGTTTATCTGTTTTAAAGGTATCTATTGTTTCCAGGCTTTTAAAATGTACATTGCTAACACGAGCAACAGTTATAATATTTAATGTATTAGCTCTATATACTCTATATCTGGTTAACATTTAACTCTAGACAATTTGTTAGTGATAAAGTTGTTTATATAATTGAGAGATTCTAATCTTCTTCCTTTTTTCATCTTATCACCCAGTTCTGTAAATGATTTTCTTTGTTTGCCTCCTTTACTTCGTAAATAATATCTTTTGATGCTTGTCAAAATATGAATACAAATGGATTTTTATTAAAATGTTTTATGCTTTTTCACACACAATTTCAACTATTATGAATTAAATGATAGTCCAAAGTTTTTTAAAAGTGTTTCTTTAATTTCTGATTATGTTATTGAGTTGGACTCAACAGCTTTGTCAGCTTCAATAAATTTATTTCAGTGAATTATTTTAATTTATTATTATTATTTTCCTCCATTACATTAAATTTTTAGTTTACTTGTGTTAGAACACAATCAAAATCAAATAAATAAATAAAATTTTTTTATATTTGTAACCATAAATAAAATATTCACATATTTTTAGAAGAAAAAAAAGTTAAATCATGTAAATAAAAAGTGCTTACTTGCCTAAGTTTCCCTTTAAATATTTTAAAAGAAGAAATAGTAATTATTTTTGTAATATGTGCCACAGTAGAAGCAATAGAGGCAAGTTAGCACACAATAGAGGCAAGTTAGCACACAGTAGAGGCAAGTTAGCACTTTTGACAAAGCTTTAGATTTAATCTGGTTTTTTGTTGAAAAAAACAATTTTACAACGAAATTACCTTTAGTAAACTCAAAAAAAAAAAATTTAATGAAAATAAATTGCACATTTTAAATTAATTTATTCAAAAATATATTCCATATCAAATTAAAAACAAATTTTACATAAGCTGTTTACCAATTTTCATGTTGTTAAAATCATTTTAAAATAAAAACTACATATTCTAAATATTTATAGATAAATAAAAAAAATTAAACTTTAAAATTACACATTGTCACTACGAAATTAGCTAGAAAGATTTTTTTTTCTATTTATCCACAAATTTATCTGGCTTTCTTAATAAATAATTTTTATAGGCATTCTCTAAAATATTTTTTGTCTATTTCCATGTCTGGGTTCACTGTGTGTCAATACCATAAAGAATCTTTTATTTATTTTTCTGTTTTTAAAAGTTACAAGCAAAGTCATTCTACAGGGAAGCAATATAAGCATAGTCTTACCTTTTGGGAGCATAGCCTTACTAGGTATATAGTAGAATTCTCAACTGAGGATTACTCTTTATTAATACACTATCTATTAAATCTATTAAATTAATAATCTATGCACTCTCAAACAAAAGTGAGATCATTTAAAGTTATAAATTTTTATTTTTATTTTGTATGAAATTTGAGTCAATAATAGTTGTATAAATATTTACATAAAAATAATATTATTAAAACTTAAAAAAGTATTAAATAACTAAAACTTATTAAAAAAATGAATTAGATAACAATAGTAATTTATTTTTGATTCATTTATAAATAGGTTGTTCTACTGCAAGAGAAAAATAAAAAACTAGAAGAAAAATTGTTACACGAAAAAACTAAGGAAATTGAAGGAACATACTCATTAAGCGAAACTGATAAAAATATAATGAAAAGGTAAATAAACTTTTGTAAGAATTATTTATGTAGTTACCTACAGCTTTGTTGAAAGTAATTTGTGCGTGTGGTTGTATATATATACAAGGTGTCTGCCAGATCAGGGAAAAGTCAGGGAATTTAGGTGTCTTTAAAAAAATCAGGGGAAAATCAGGGAAATCAGGTCAGTTTTTCGAAAAATCAGGGAAAAAATCAGGGTTTTTATTACTTATCTTATTTTAGAAGCTCTTTAATTATGAGTCTTTTTTTTTAACACAGTTTAATTCTAAAAAAAGCAGTTTTTTTTTTTTTGAGCTTGATTAGTACCCTTTATTAACTAACTAGTAATAATTAACTAGAAGTTAACTGTATGATGTTTTTAATCAGTTTTTTTAATTTTCTTTAGACTAGAACAAGTTTAATTAAATTAAATAATGAACTCAACATATTTTGATGATCAGTGTTACAAATACAGGAATATAAAACTTGATAGACTTTCAATTTTGTTTAAATCAATATTTCCTGGCACTGCTATAACTGAAAAGTTCTCTCTGCAAAAAGACAAGTGCTCATATCATTTAAATTTTGGGATAATTCCTCGTTTTTAATCTGTTCTTATCAGAGATATAGATAAGTCAGACTTATGATGTTTCTTTCGATGAAAGTCTAACTCAGTTGTGCAAATGAGGCAGATGGATCTTGTTGTTAATTATTAGGATATTTATTGGGTGTTTTGAAGCTGTGTTTGTACTTGTTATTTAGACTCAAAACTTATTGGACATAGTCGAAGTAAAGATCTTTTGCATAATTTTTTATTGGGTTTAAAATCTTTGAATAAAATTTAACTTATTCAAGTATCTATGGATGGCCCAAATGCAAATTCTGCTTTCTAGTTACAAAATTACTGTGCCGAAAATGACATTAACAAACTGGATCCAACTGGATCTTGTGGTCTTCATTTGATTCATCTATCATTCAAAACTGTGGAAAACAAAACAAACTTAGGTATTAAAAAGGTTTGAAAGGTTTTTATAAACTTACTTTTATAAACTTATAAATTCTTACAAATGTAAATGCTCAGGTCAAACAAGCATTGGAGAATTTACAAATTAAAGGAAGATAAGTATCAACACTAAGATGAGACAACTAAATACAATTTAGTCTCACAAATAGTAAGCAGGTCTGGTTAACTTTGCAAGAGATAAGACTCAACAAAAGAATGTTACTTTGAAGATCACAAATATTAGTGAATGATAGATTTAGAGAACTTGGTGGTGATAATGTTTTTTTGTGTTTTATAGTTTTTGTTACTTTAGTCATTTTTTAAATTGATTAATGAACTTAACTCAAAGTACAGATAGTGCTCAGTACATTATTTAATAGTCCAAGCAATTGCCTTATTACTATTAATAAAACGTAAGCTATTACAAAGGACTCCAAATGTGACCTCGTCAATGCAAACCAAAGGTATGAACAGTGACACCATCCATGTGCAACATGCTCTGATACTTAACAGCTGTTGATGGGATCTCTCTTAAAGTTACCACAAAGTTTGGGAAACCTGACTACCACTTGACCTCAGAACCATAAAACTGAGTTTTAGAGCTGTACCCTCATTAAGAGAAGCCAATAAAATGAGTTGCCTAGTCATAAAAACAGAGACACAAGCAAAACCCATGCATTGAGTTCAGCATTCAATATCCTAAAATGGAAACTATGTATTATAAATACATCTACACCAGCCTAATAGATAAAGAAGGGGTGCAAGGCTGGTCAACAGATAGAATCTGTTTACCCATCTGTTTAGTCTTTGCCTAGTATGACTTTTACAAGACAGTAGCTGGATACATTTATTGTCTTCCCAAGATAAATATTTTTATCGAGAAACTCTAAAAAATTTCTAAAAAAATTTATACATATATTCCTATAGTTTGACATTTAAATTTATGGCTTGTGGCAAAAAACTGCTCTAAACGACTCCTTATCTTCAAAAGTATATTTTATGTGAAAATCATTAAATTTTATTGTTTTTTTTTTTAACTGAAAAAGCGAAACTTTATAGATTATAAGTTTTTTTTATTTTGATATAAGTTTTTATTATTTTGATAATAACAAAAAACATTCTGAATGTTTTTGTTTTTTACTGTTTACATTCATCAACTGACAAATAAGTAAAACATGCAAGGAGTGCTGCTACACCAACTGACCAATGGATAAAACATGTGATGAGTACTGCTACATCGACTGACAAATAGGTTGATTGTTTGAGTAGTGTTGCTACATCGACTGACAAATAAATAGAACATGGAAGGAGCACTGCTGTATTGACTGAAAAATAGGTAAAACATGCAAGGAGTGCAGCTACATTGACTGAAGGTTTTGGTTTTGGCAGGCAATCTATCAATTAAAAAATTTGTTAAAAGTTTTTTTAACTGTTTCCGGTCTTCTAATTTAATTTAAAAAAAACAACCATCAAGAGGTCAGCAATAAATTGCATATATATAAATGAGGTCAGGAATAAATTGCTTACCTTAAACGTTAGAGGTTGGCATTAGGTTGGCAAAAAAATTGACATAAAGGGGTTTATTTATCATAAAACATAGAAACAATGTTGACGATTTTTTTTCCGAACTCAAACACTTTAGGTTGGCATTGATAGTTTATTAAACTTATATATAAAAAAATAATTTATGTAAATTTAACTTTTTGTTAATGAAAAAAGTTCTTTTTGTATGAGTTTTTTATTGTAATGTTATATAAAAATATTTTTTTCCATTTATATAAATTTATAAAATTTACATAAATTAGATAATTATAACACTTGTATTCCAAGCTGACAATTTGTTTATTTGTTTGGGTATATTTTTCGATAATATTTAGAGATATTTTGCTGTAATACTGTCTTTATTAACTTTTTTTTAACTATTTTATAGAATTTATATACAGAAAAGTGATTAAAAGATTGTGTTAAATATTGTAACATTTATAGAATAATTGTTATGCACATTGAAATAAGTTTAAAGAATTTTGTCCTAGTATTGAAATTTGAACAAAAGTATATATATTTTATGTTTTGATTAAAGAAATATGAGTAAAAAAGTAGAAAAACAGAAAAACATTGAAGAAATATGAGTAAAATAGTGTAAAAAAATGAGCTGTTATTGTGGCATTATACAAGGAAACTTACTCAATGCGGAAAATTGCTTCAAAAACCAATGTGTCTCAAAATGTATTCATCAGAGTGTTGCAATTAAAGCATGAAAATAGCTGTAATCAGTGTTGCCATCCTTCAGAAAGATCTAGAACAACTCTGAATCACAAAGACAATCTGTATTCAAATATTAAAATTTTATCTGTGTTTAAAGTAAAAGAAATTGTACTCGAAGAGAATGCATGATAAAACAATGAATGATCTCAACAATCAAGCATGGTTGTCAGTCATGGTCTGGGGATACTTTGATGGAAACAAAGTTAGTGACCTTGTGCAAATTGAGGGGATTATGGATAAAAATAATAACAACAAACAAGAATTTTTTGTGTGGAAAAAGAAGTCTCTCAGATTGAATAGTTGGTTTTAAACCTAATGTGTTTAAGGAGCAAGTTAGCTCAGTAATAAAACATGTTTAAAAATATCATTAACATCACATTATTTATTTAGTTTTATAGATGTTAATTAGAGCTGTGTTGGATAATTTAAAATGCAAATTTTCTTCTGAAGGATAAAAAACATAAATTGAAATTTAATATTATTAAAAAGTATAGACTTTTTTTTAAACGTTATTAGACATTATGCTGCATCTACAACTTTTACAGATGCTTGGCAAATTAGTGAGTGTACATGACAGTATCATTATAATATGACTGACGTATTACAAATCACCCTAAATAACAAACAAAAGAGTCATATAAGGTATAAAAAAAGTCTAGCCTCAATAACAGCACATTTGTAAAAATGTCATGTCTATGTAAAGATGTTTGATTCAAACCTTTTTGGTATTTAGGTTAAATAACTTATAGCAACTTTTTATGTTTTTTTATGTTTATCTAAATTCCTGGGCATATAAGGTAAAAAAAAGTCTAGCCTCAATGACAAATAACACATTTGTAAATATGTCATGAAAAGAGTTGGATCCAGAAATTTTGGTTAAATAACTTCCATCAAATTTTCTAAAATTATCAAATGTTTATCTAAATTCTAGGTTTTTATATTTCTTTTTGAGAACAAAATTCCATTCATTTTAATTGTAAATCTTTTATGTACCTAAGTTAATGAAAGCACCTGTTTCAATAAAAGTTAGTAGTCAATGACAGTAAGTACTAACCTTTGTTAAAACCTGGTTTAATAAAGGTTAGTACCTAAATCAATGACAGTTAGTACTAGAAATTTTTTCAATTGACTTTTCTTTTTTTTTGCCAAAGTGAATTCAGACACAAATATTCAAAATATGTAAATGAAAAGTAAAAAATTAAAATATGAAAAGTAAAAATATAAAAAAAATTTAAAGTGGTTTAATAATGGTAATAACAAAATGCTTTTTACAAGTTTTTTATTTTGTTTTGTTTTAATAGAGAGACAGTGGGTTGCAATAGAAAATATTTTTAAAACATCAGTAGCCCCTTTGACTTTCATGGTATCCTTCACTTTGGAAAGTAAATATGTAAAAAAAATATTGCTTTTGTTAAGTTAAAATGAAATGATCTAGGAAAAAATGTGTGCCAATGTTATGAACTATAATATGTAAACATTTAGTATATCTATATTAGTCCCACAATTTATACATACTATATATTTTTTATAGCCATGAGCAACGAATTCGCAGTTTGTTTAAAGAGAAAGAAATATTCAAGAAACAATTTATTGAGTGTGAAGTACTAGAAAAAGAAATAGCAATAAAGCTAAGTAACAAGGTATATTTGTAATTAATTTTATGGTATGTATTAATTTATTAGGCTCTATTTTTTTATATAACTTTAAATATATCACTTTTTACATAATAAAGAGTGCACTTTTAATCATAAAATGTAACATAAAAATAAACTTTATTTTCACTTTATTTATTTATTAAATCACCTTTTTTTTTCAGGAAAAATCTTTTCAATATATGCTTCAAATTTCTAACATGTTTGATCAAGATTTAATTGAACAGGTTAGATTTACATTTTTTTAAATGATTTTAACAATTTCATTTGTTGTAAAACATTTTCAATGATTGGTACCAAAATTAAAGTTAACTTTTAAAAAAAACATTCAAATCAAATTCAAAAAAAAATTCAATTCAAAGCTTCGATCATAAATGTTTGCTATAAATGAGAATGATGATTTTTAACATTTTTTTTTCTAAATCTCTTTTAAAGAGAAATTTAATAAAATAATTTTATTAATTAATATATTGTATTTTTATGCTTTAATTTAGAAAAATTGTACTTAAAAACTATTTTAAAAAAAATATTTTAATTTTTTATTTTAGTCTCGAAAAAATCTTGAAAATTTCCGTTCATCGATTAACTTGAAACAAAGTCAATTACAAGAACAAAAAATTATGTTAAAGTCTTCTCTTGAAGAAAATAACAAGCAAATTTTACGATGTCAGAACGAAGTTGAACTGTGGGCTAATCAAACTGACAGCATTGTACGAACGCAACTAAATTTAGTTTATGAGTTGTGTTTAGAACAGCTAGAAAATGTGTCGTGGAAAATTCAGGTGAAACATATGCGGAAGTGTTTCTTAATGCGTAAAGCTCAGGATAAAATAATGCAGAGGTAAATGATTTGTTTACAAATTTTATTTTACAAAATCTTTGTAAAATAAAATCCAATGAAAAAAATTTTCTTTTTTTCTTGATTATGTTTCCGTCATTTTTCAAATAACTCCATTTTTAAAAAGAGCTCTCATTATCTGAAAAAAATTAAATTACAAATAATTACTGTTAAAAAATTAGCTTGGATACATTTGGATGCAAAATGTAATGAAAGTTGAAAAAGATTTTATAATTTTAACAAATGATTTTTTATTTTTTGTATTTGTTTGATTTTTTATCCAATAAAATTAAGTGGAGTTTTTAGAAGAGACTAGTTTAATTCGAAATCACTAATATATTTATCTTTTAAATCTCAAACATATTTTAACAGCTTTTTAAATCCTCTTTTCTTGAATATTTTGTTATGATAAGGCTATTTGTAGTTTGTTGTTTTTTTATTTACTCTTGGGTATTTATTTTTTACTTTTTCCATTTACACTTGGATAAATTAATATACTATTTATCTGGGTAATATTTTTTGAAGAGCTTTTAAAAATTAAAACTGTGATACATTTGCAATTTTCAATTTTATTCTCTAGATTTTCTTTTTTACAAATCTGTTGCATAATTTTTTTCATAATCTCTTTTAAAAATATCCAATAATTTTCTAAAGTCTTAAATAACTCTCTATAGTCCTAAAAACTTTGAACACTGCACTATTGCATGCACTATTGTGTCATGATTTTCAATTTATTACGCTGTTAAGTAGAGTTATATTTTAGATTGCAATATGGCATTATTCATTATACCAAGGTCTTTGTGGGAAGTATAGTACCTTTTGTCAGCGCCAGCCTCCGCCATCTTTTCCTCTTACTTTTGCTATATTTATCAGTAGTAAGTCTTTTAACCTATGCTCTTCTTTGCAAGTTATGAATCTTGATACCTTTAAATCACTTTTAACCATCACTTTTACTTGTTAAATTTACGATTACATTGAAAACCATCGCCACCACCTAACTGTTTCAATTTATCTTTTACAAATATCTTACTTTTTGCAAAAATTCACCGGATTTACTTGCTCTTTATGAGACTAATTTATTTAGTTGTTTCTTTTTCAGATCTCAGATTTTCATCTTTGGATCTCAGTGTTTATAATTATTATCCTTTGTTCTCCAGAACTCCCTTCAATTATCTTAAAGTATTTAATAAGTGCTTGACTGAATCTTGTTTTCCAGCCTGCTGGAAAAATGGCATCTGTGGTTCCAATTTTGAAAAACTTCTAGAAAACATTCTAAATCCCTTCAGCTATTGTCCAATCACTAAATCCCTTCAGCTGTTGTCCAATCACTAAATCCCTTCAGTTGTTGTCTAATCACTTAGTCCCTTCAGCTATTGTTCAATCACTAAATCTCTTCAGCCATTGTCTAATCACTAAATCCCTTCAGCTATTGTCCAATCATTAAATCCCTTCAGCTGTTGTCCAATCACTAAATCCCTTCAGCTGTTGTCTAATCACTAAAATCCCTTACAGTTGTTGTCCAATCACTAAATCCCTTTAGCTATTGTTCAATCACTAAATCCCTTCAGCTATTGTCCAATCACTAAATCCCTTCAGCTATTGCCAATCACTCCCTATTATTAGCAAAGTCTTTGAATCATCAATTTTCTAACATCTTATTTTGAATCTAATAACATACTCTCTGACAATCAAAATAGTTAATAACTTACTTTCTGACAATATGGAATTTTATCTTCTTGTTTTAAGGCTTACTTCCTAACTGCTGTAACTGAAAGATTCTATTGTGTATTAAATAAGAACAGCAAGGCAAGGGATGTTCCTCTTGATATATCAAAAGTTTTCAATAAAGTTTGGCATTCTAGTATTCTCCATAAACTTTCATCATATGGTTTCTAGAAAAGTTTGACACTATTTGCTGACAACTCAACTTTATACTTCTGTCTTGACAAAAAGTCTGCTTTTTTTTTGATAGCTTTGAACAGAAAGCTGATCTTGAATCTTAACTTTCTTCTGTAACAGCTTGGGGCTTGCAGTGGTTTGTGAATTTTCAATCCAACAAATTTTAGTTATTAAATGCAAATCACAATGTTGTTAACATATTGATGTAAACATATTGTCCTATATTGATAAATGGGAAACCTCTCACTGAGTCTTCTACTTTATTAATCAGTCTTCTTCTTAGATAATCATTCACTACTGACCTCTCATGGAAACCATATATACAATCTATTGCAGTTTATTTAACACACTGGTGTGATAACCCTGTTCTAATGCTAAAAAAACTTGAACATAAAATCCTTTTAGTTTTGGTTTCGGTTTCTGTGTAAGATTTGTTTTGAACATTTACCCTGCCATTCTTCTTTGTCCAATCAATCTTGAAAATATAATTTATAAAAATATTATTTTATAACATATTATTTTATAATGTATAAATACTATTAATATCATTTAAGTTCATAATTAACTAGGAGTTAAACTCATTTTATGTTCTTAAAAATTTATATTCCAAAAAACAAATAGATATAAGTAGTAGGGTGTTGACTTTTTTACAACACGTATGTCCTATATTATTTTATAATGAACAATTATATATAATAACATAAAATCATATATTTTAGATATTAATATCAGACAATATAAATTTTAAATTAGGTTTTTAGAATTTATACATCGAGGCAAGTCTTGAGCAACTTTTATTGCTCTTTCAGCACATATATTACTCTTTCAGCACATATATTACTCTTTCAGCACATATATTACTTTTTCAGCACATATATTACTTCTTCAGCACATATATTACTCTTTTAGCACATATATTACATATATACTCTTTTAGCACATATATTACATATATATTACTTTAGCACATATATTACATATATATTACTTTAGCACATATATTACATATATATATTACTGTGCTCTTTCAGCACATATATTACTGTGCTGGATGTTTTTTTAGCACATATATTACTTCTTCAGCACATATATTACTCTTTTAGCACATATATTACATATATATTACTTTAGCACATGTATTACATATATATTACTTTAGCACATATATTACATATATATTACTTTAGCACATATATTACATATATATTACTTTAGCACATATATTACATATATATTACTTTAGCACATATATTACATATATATTACTTTAGCACATATGTTACATATATATTACTTTAGCACATATATTACATATATATTACTTTAGCACATATATTACATATATATTACTTTAGCACATATATTACATATATATTACTTTAGCACATATATTACATATATATTACTTTAGCACATATATTACATATATATTACTTTAGCACATATATTACATATATATTACTTTAGCACATATATTACATATATATTACTTTAGCACATATATTACATATATATTACTTTAGCACATACATTACATATATATTACTTTAGCACATATATTACATATATATTACTTTAGCACATATATTACATATATATTACTTTAGCACATATATTACATATATATATTACTGTGCTCTTTCAGCACATATATTACTGTGCTGGATGTTTTTTTAGCACATATATTACTTCTTCAGCACATATATTACTCTTTTAGCACATATATTACATACATATTACTTTAGCACATATATTACATATATATTACTTTAGCACATATATTACATATATATTACTTTAGCACATATATTACATATATATTACTTTAGCACATATATTACATATATATTACTTTAGCCCATATATTACATATATATTACTTTAGCACATATGTTACATATATATTACTTTAGCACATATATTACATATATATTACTTTAGCACATATATTACATATATATTACTTTAGCACATATATTACATATATATTACTTTAGCACATATATTACATATATATTACTTTAGCACATATATTACATATATATTACTTTAGCACATATATTACATATATATTACTTTAGCACATATATTACATATATATTACTTTAGCACATATATTACATATATATTACTTTAGCACATACATTACATATATATTACTTTAGCACATATATTACATATATATTACTTTAGCACATATATTACATATATATTACTTTAGCACATATATTACATATATATATTACTGTGCTCTTTCAGCACATATATTACTGTGCTGGATGTTTTTTTAGCACATATATTACTTCTTCAGCACATATATTACTCTTTTAGCACATATATTACATACATATTACTTTAGCACATATATTACATATATATTACTTTAGCACATATATTACATATATATTACTTTAGCACATATATTACATATATATTACTTTAGCACATATATTACATATATATTACTTTAGCCCATATATTACATATATATTACTTTAGCACATATGTTACATATATATTACTTTAGCACATATATTACATATATATTACTTTAGCACATATATTACATATATATTACTTTAGCACATATATTACATATATATTACTTTAGCACATATATTACATATATATTACTTTAGCACATATATTACATATATATTACTTTAGCACATATATTACATATATATATTACTGTGCTCTTTCAGCACATATATTACTGTGCTGGATGTTTTTTTAGCACATATATTACTTCTTCAGCACATATATTACTCTTTTAGCACATATATTACATACATATTACTTTAGCACATATATTACATATATATTACTTTAGCACATATATTACATATATATTACTTTAGCACATATATTACATATATATTACTTTAGCACATATATTACATATATATTACTTTAGCCCATATATTACATATATATTACTTTAGCACATATGTTACATATATATTACTTTAGCACATATATTACATATATATTACTTTAGCACATATATTACATATATATTACTTTAGCACATATATTACATATATATTACTTTAGCACATATATTACATATATATTACTTTAGCACATATATTACATATATATTACTTTAGCACATATATTACATATATATTACTTTAGCACATATATTACATATATATTACTTTAGCACATATATTACATATATATTACTTTAGCACATACATTACATATATATTACTTTAGCACATATATTACATATATATTACTTTAGCACATATATTACATATATATTACTTTAGCACATATATTACATATATATATTACTGTGCTCTTTCAGCACATATATTACTGTGCTGGATGTTTTTTTAGCACATATATTACTTCTTCAGCACATATATTACTCTTTTAGCACATATATTACATACATATTACTTTAGCACATATATTACATATATATTACTTTAGCACATATATTACATATATATTACTTTAGCACATATATTACATATATATTACTTTAGCACATATATTACATATATATTACTTTAGCCCATATATTACATATATATTACTTTAGCACATATGTTACATATATATTACTTTAGCACATATATTACATATATATTACTTTAGCACATATATTACATATATATTACTTTAGCACATATATTACATATATATTACTTTAGCACATATATTACATATATATTACTTTAGCACATATGTTACATATATATTACTTTAGCACATATATTACATATATATTACTTTAGCACATATATTACATATATATTACTTTAGCACATATATTACATATATATTACTTTAGCACATATATTACATATATATTACTTTAGCACATATATTACATATATATTACTGTGCTCTTTCAGCACATATATTACTGTGCTGGATGTTTTTTTAGCACATATATTACTTCTTCAGCACATATATTACTCTTTTAGCACATATATTACATACATATTACTTTAGCACATATATTACATATATATTACTTTAGCACATATATTACATATATATTACTTTAGCACATATATTACATATATATTACTTTAGCACATATATTACATATATATTACTTTAGCCCATATATTACATATATATTACTTTAGCACATATGTTACATATATATTACTTTAGCACATATATTACATATATATTACTTTAGCACATATATTACATATATATTACTTTAGCACATATATTACATATATATTACTTTAGCACATATATTACATATATATTACTTTAGCACATATGTTACATATATATTACTTTAGCACATATATTACATATATATTACTTTAGCACATATATTACATATATATTACTTTAGCACATATATTACATATATATTACTTTAGCACATATATTACATATATATTACTTTAGCACATATATTACATATATATTACTGTGCTCTTTCAGCACATATATTACTGTAAGAACGAGTAAGAGCTTTCTGGCAATTCTTCTTCTCTGGATATCTTCTTCAAGTTTTCTAAAATCATTTTCATTAAAAATATGTTTCCCAAACCATGCTTTGTGCCAGTTACCACTAACAAAATTACAAACTATATCAAGTTGTTCTCTAAATGAGTTAACAAGAAAATAACTTAAAAATGCATTAATTGCTTTTGAATTCTATCTTGCACAGTGAAAAGATGCTAATGTATTAGGAAAATTAATTTTAATAAAATTTCCATTTTCTTTATAAAAAAGATATGCTTTGCATAGATTGTAAAGCAATTTCATATCATCTCTCCATCCTAAAATTTTGCAGTTTAAAGAAGGACCACTGTTGTCAAATCCTTCGACAAGATTTTTGTAATTTTCAAGAATGAATTTAATAAAAGAATAATGTAAGTTAGGTGAGGTAGACTTTACAGAACATACAGAATCAATGACCAACTTTAAAACTCTGTCTAAAACATGATGTTAACATAAAACATACTGTGGATTAGAAACATAGTATGGATTATTAAATCCAAGATCACTAAATTTTTTTTGTAGTCTAGTTACTGTACCATTTTTTTTACCAGTATTAACAGCAGTTGTATCTGTTATAATCATTTTTATGCAATTCCATAAATCAAAAGAGTCTTTAATTTCAACCAATTAGTTAAAAGTCTTTCTGCCTTACCATCTTTTAAGACAACAGTTAATTTTACTTCTTTTGTACCATTTTTCAGAAATGATTAGGTGTCTATATCTAATCCAATATCTTTTAATAAAAAATTGCACACTGCTGCAACTTTTCTTGATAACTTTGCTGCTGTTGATAATCTCAAAACTGATGAAGTTTTGCAATACCTCCTCTTTCTGGAGTTAGTATCGGGTATTGGTGTGTCAAAACATTCATCCCCACTAGTCTCAATAACCTTAGTATCAGAATCAGTATTAATATCAGTATCTTCTGTAGATGGGTTTTCGTTTTGGTTGTTTCTGATTCTCTTTGATAGATGAATTTTTGTTGGGTCAACTACTTTATTAGAACAATAGCCTGCTCTTCCTTGTGTTTCTATCTGCATATTGTAAAAATTTTTGTCTTTACTTGTTAGCCACACACCTTTCAAATCAGTATTATCAAACAATTGAGTAAAAGAAGTATTAACTAATTTTTTTTTGTTTTCTTAAATATTTATCATAATCTGTTATTAGATTTTTTACTTTACGATGAACAGATTGCATTGATAAAGTAAGAATTGAAAGTTTTAGCCACAATTCTCTCAGTTCTAAGCAAATTATTTTGATTCGATTTAACTTTGTCTAAACACACAATTGATTTAAATCTTCTAATCACTGTAGCTTTAGATGGCATTTTTTTAAAACTGTTTAAATTGTGCATACTGACTACACGTTTTCTAGTAACATTGTAAAATCTATTTTTTTCAAGATTCTTTGTCCAATTTTTTTTGTTTTTGTTAATTAAATTCTTTGATTGCTTATATGAAATTCTAAAAAATAAAGTGTTACTCAAATTATTACGTTATATTAAAAAAGACAAGTATTTTAAAATTATACGTTTTCAAAATGAAATTTAATTATCTTTGATTTGCATGAAAAGTAATATTACAAATGTATTTTGGTTTATTATTTGTTAATGTTTTCAGAGATGATTGTTAGTGTGTATTTATACTGTTTTGTGATTTATTTGATATATATATATATATATATATATATATATATATATATATATATATATATATATATATATATATATATATATATATATATATGTATATAAAAAATATACCCACCCAATATAACTTATTATCTTTTTAAATAGCTTAACATTAATGTATGATTGCTATGGTGGTTGACTTTTTTTAAATATTAAATCAAACTACAGATATTCAATTAATATACATACTCTAGTGTTTCAAAGATTTCATAAAAAGTATTAAAAGTCAACACCCTAATAAGTAGGCTTAAATTTAAAAAAAAATGGAAACAGAATAAAAATTCAAAAATCTAGTATTACAAATATAATTCCACAACTCTAGTTTAAAGAATTAAATGTATATTGTTATCACCTTTGATATCTTCTCTCTCCAAGCCATACTTGAATTTTTACCATACCATATCTTCTCTCTTCAAGCCATACTTGAATTTTTCTCCAGTTTTAAGCATATAACAGATTTCTGCCACAACTAAAACAAATATTTGTTGGAAAATCTTTTATTAATTTCGAATATTCATGAAACACCTATAATTTCATCAATTCTTCCACTGTGTTGTTTACGTAATGTATTTGTATCTATTTATATCGAAAAAATTATTTTCAATCAAATAAGGATAGTATTTTAGATAAAGCTAAGGAAATATAAAGATAGAAATGCAAAAAAAAGGTATTTCTACATTGACTTATTTCTGAATATAAAATCTAATTTCGTCTTTTAGAATGCTTGATTTTTTATTGGCGAATCAAAACAAAAAAGAAGCATCTTGTATTTTATTGCACGGTTTACCTGATGTGACGAATATTTCGTGGGAAGACCAGTCTGCTTTAAACAGTAAAGATGCAAATGAGTTTGTAGATTTTGCAACAGGAACTCCTTTTAAAACACCTTCAAAGAGGGCTGGCGTATTAAAACAAGTTGTTCAAAATTCTAACCCTGTCGCGATTAAACATTCAAACTATGATACAAATGAAAGCAGTGAACAAAAGAGTGAACAAAATAATCTCAACGACAGTTTGTTAACTGGTTGTTATTCACATTGCCTAGGAAAAAATCAAATAACAAACCTTGAAGAGACCAATGTGTTTAAAAACAAGGCTTGTGTAGTTGACAAAAAACAATCTTTAAACCAAAGTCAAAATTTATTGCAGAAGTCATCAAGCATGTACGCTCCCCATATAACTTCATTTTTTAACAACAACAGAATTGCATCTTACATAGATCCGAAACAAGTTACAGGTAAAACATTCAACACCACTTCAGCGTATAATGGGTTCATCTCTTATAAACCTAAGATTTTTCATGACAAAAAAATTTGTTTACCTGTGCGGACGGGTTTGTCGAAAGAAAATTTATCGCATAAATCTCTTGCGAGAAGAGCAGAAAAAGCAAATTCTCAAAGGAATCATTTTGTAATATCAACAATACAGAGAAAAGGTTTTCGATTTTAGCAAAAATTTATATCTTTATTTGGCTTTTATGATTTTTGTTATATTTATTAACGGTCTAATATATTTAACACGTGAACGCGTGCTTTATATTTTATATATTATTTATTAAATATTAAATTTAATTAATATTAAAAGTTAACCAGGTGTGTTTTATATCCTTCTAGTGTGTTTTTTTTAGATAAGCGGGTGTGTATGTTGTAGAAGTTGAATTTAAAGATTTTTTTTTTAACTGGTAAATTATTGGTACTTCGTAAAATGAAAACCAAAATGCTAATAAATAATAAAACTTTCTTGCAAACTAGATTATTGATGTTTTTATTTGCCATTTTTATTAATTTTTATTTAGTTTAACATTGTAATTTTGATTCAGAAACATCGTAGAAGTATTTTTCTTTACTTAAAAATGACTCGTATATCATTTACAAATGTGGTTTTACCAGAAATTTACTTGTTTTACCTACTATTTGGTCATGAAACACTTCGAGCTCCGCTTTTGAACATTTATATGTTTTGTCAGAGATCAGACGGACGCTTTACTACGGGCCAAAGAGATCGCCAGGTTTTATGTAGGGTCAATCAAATGAAACCTTTTTTATTCAAGGGTATTTGTTTTATAACAATAGCAAAAAGCTTTTTTAAAATCCGAAGTGCTGAGAGTTATAAGTTGGGAAAAACGGTAATGTTGAGGAGGTCTTAACCCATTTAAGATGCATGCCACACAAAAAAATTTAAGAGTATTTGTTCTATTAAATAAGAAAACAACGTTAACAAAATCAGCATAGGTTTCACGCTTGTGTTAATGGAAAAAGTTTTCCGGTTGCACGGCATAAAACAAAATCATCTCAAAAATTTCTTTTGGTGTACAATTCTAACAGGTTTTAGGTTCTTTATTTGATTTTAATTTGTCCACTGCTTAAATGTAGTTAAATAATGTTGCATGTATTCTTAAAGGTTTTTTGTAAAGTTAAATTTCCTCTTATTTATTCATAACAGTGTAAGGACCAAAAGATTTTGCGAAACTTCCGTCTTTAACTATAGTAATCTTTGGTGATCATAATTTTTGGGCTCGGTGATAATACTTAAGCCCTCATCTCCGGCTATTTGCTATATGTGTAAGTAATCTTATTGTAAATCACGGGTACACTGAAGGTAACCTAAGGCCTTATATTAAGTTCCATGAAATTTTTATTTTGTTTTTGAAAGTAGTACATAAGTACATTCTGAAACTATTAAAATTATTTATTGGTAGCTTTTTAATAACACTTAGTAAGAAGTTGTTTAAATGACGGTATTTTCGTATTAAAATAATATTTTTCCGTCAGCCATTATAGTTGTTTACTTTCTGTAATTGCAGCAGCGCAATTGGCTATAATAATATTTATTAGTTTCCAATTGGCTTATAGTTGTTGTTGGTTTTCAGATTTTAACAATATTTATAAACACATTATAGCAATAAAAGAGACTTTAATTAATAAAAGAAATAACTTAGATTAATTTAAATTTAAGAGCCAATTAAAAAAATACAGAAACTATTTCTCAAGAATAGAATAGAAATGCCATACTTCGCTAAAAATCATAACGAGTTTTTAATATGCATTTACATATGCTGTATGAGAAAAAGTAATGATTTTAAGATGCATTCAAAACCAAATGCAATAAACCAGGTCCAAAACAATAAAAAAATTATGAAAATCTTATCAAGATTTTTTTGGGAAAACTACCCTTTTGAAAACCCTGATCTGCCTAATAAGTTATGTTTTTATTGCAGAAAAAATCTAGTGAGTTAAAAAAAAAACAGATCCAAAAAATTATTTATTCAATGCTCGACCTAAGTACGAAGGTAAGTTTTATAAGAAAATAAGCCAATAAAAACCAATTATGTTTTATATTATTATTGTTTTTTTTATAAACAATGTTTTGTTTGCACTAAAAAAATAACTTCTTATTATTTTTAGGTCTTAATACTAGAGTTACTGAGGTCGGAAATGTGAGTGTTTTATTTGTGTTAATGGGCGTAAAAATGGTACTGAAACAGTATAGTATAACTACATGCTACATTTTTTTTTTTTTTTTTTATATATATTTGACTAATTTGAAAGTTGATAATTTAAAATAAATCAACATTTTTGGGCTTAAAGATGTTTTGTAATTATTTAGTGTATTGGAAGAACTATTCCTCGTATAATTTGCAATAATGTTGATGAGTTTGTTGCAACAGTTTTGCGACATAGATCTCTTGAACCAGAGAATGTTGATGTTAAGATTAGGGTAGATAGAGGGCAAGGCTATCTTAAGGTTACTTTATCAATTACATCAAAGCCAGAGCTAGAAGTACATTCAATTGAAAAGAAAAAAGTGAAATATTCTGATGAGTATGGATTTAAAGAATTCAAGTATACTAGTGTTCACAAAACTTTAGTTTTGGCGGTATTACCCTCTATTGATGAAAATTATACAAACATAAAAATATTGTTGGATAAATTAAAACTTAATTCTCTGGATTACTCTATTTTAGAAGATCTAAAGGTTCTTCTTCTGATGATTGGAAAGCAGTCAGCAGCTTCGAAGCATCCTTGTCCATTTTGTGAAACAGAATCGCCAAATATGCTGAGTCATATTCTCTAACTTCTCTGCGTGAGTGGTATAACAAATGGATGGCTGCTGGAGGAGACATTGCAAAAGCTAAAAATTTTAGTAACGTAGTTAATCCTCCTTTATTGACTGGAAATGTAATAAAGAAGATCTTAGAAATTATTAATATACCAGGCTTACATATTTTGCTAGGCATAGTAGACAAGTTAAGTTTATGCTAGGCATAGTAGACAAGTTACTCAAAATAATTGAAAAAAACTTATTTTAAAACACTAATCAAGAATTTAATTTTTTAAGTAGTTATATATCTGCAATTAATCTTGCCAGAGTACCTTATCAAGGTAAACACAGGTTAGAAGGAAATGGATCCAACGAGTTTTTAAAAAATCTTGATTGCTTTCAAATTTATCTGGATGAGCACAATATTATTGGTGGTAAATATATGAAAATTTTGAGAGACTTTAGCGATGTTGTTCATGGGTGTTTTGGGAAAACTTTAAATTCAAACTACTCTGATTATATTAAAAGATTTGCACAAAGTTTCAGAGATCTTGGTTCAAACATTTTTCTAAAAGTTCATATAATGGAGCATCATACTGAAGAGTTTATTGTTATGAAAGGAGGAAATTTTGGTAAGTGCATGTTTAGAAAATTAACTGCTAACTTTTTAAATTTTAACATATAAAAATGATAATATTAAATATTTTGAATTAAGATTTACACACACTCAAAAAATAAAATGAGGGGGGTATAACTTTTGCATGGTAATTTTGTAATTTACAATATTTTTGTAATTTACAATATTTTTCTACAAAATTTAAAACCTGTAGATAAATTTAAATTTAGTTTAAGATAGTAAAGTTGAAAATTTTACTGCATCAGTGCCCTCACGTTTAGGCAGAGAAGGGGGAAGCATTTTAGGGATTTTTTTTTCCCATGCCTCCGCTATCCCAAATTTTTGCAAGGTCTCCGCATTCGGCAAAGGTATGAACATACTTAAGTTTGGAGTTTGCACAATGTGTGAAAGTATCTAAAATATCAAAAAATCCATGCTTGATATTATACTCTCACATTAATATCAAATTAATATTTGCAAAAAAAAGTATTACAAAAATTGGACACTTCAATTATAATTATACTCCTGAATAAAAATTAGTTATTAAAAATCTATATGTAAAATAATTTTTTAAACTTAAAATTTTGTAAAACACCAACATTAAATAATCTCCATAAATAATTTAAAGAAATTATGAAATAAAAGTAATCTAATTAGTAAATAAAGTAAAGGTAAAATTCTTCTTAGAAAATGCTGCTATGAAAATTATTTTAAATTGGTTTGTAGAAAAGGTTCTTTAATTTCTTTTCAGGAAGGTAAGTTGTCAAGTACAGCCTGCTACTACCTAAAAAACAAAAATAAAAAATTACTACTATCCTATCAATTTATCATAAATGTTCTATTTTCAATTTGTAAATTCTATTTCATAAATCTACACACAATGTAGTTTGCATAACTTGTTGAACAGCCTAGCTTTATATATGTTGTGGATTATGAGCCATTGTCTGAGAAATATAGGCAAAATAAGCAAATTCTGGAAGTGATGTCTTCAAATTGTCTTCATTTTCAGATATTTTGTAAAAAACAATGAAAATAGACCTCTGGTAAAACAAAAAAAGCTATTTGTTTCGGAGATATAGGGTCCCAAAATTTGGCCCATTTTGCGAAAATATTTGCGCAAGGAGTGCAATTGCTACTTTGTGTGGCAATTTTGGCAACATGAATATGACAGATACATTTCTTTTTAATTTTTCTGCTAAACTGGATAGATTTCTACAGCTAAAGTTAAAAGTCCACATGGTTACATTTTTAGTTATCTAGAAATCATGGTCCGAAACCACTAAATTTGAAATTTTACCCTAACTTTGAGTACTAATATCTCTTAAGGCTATTACTTGCATGTAGTTTTCTTAAGTATTTTTGAAAAGTACTAAGGCATACATTGATTATATAAAACAAAATTTATGTGCATGCAAGGACCTGGGAAGGAGTAACCTGCCAAAAATCACTATTTGCGTTCAACGCGCCTTGGTAAATTACCCATAACAACCGTGGCCTTAGGTCTGCCATAAACAGTATAAGTTATTTAGTCTCCTTAAACATGCATCTTCCAATATCTGAAAAATAATCCATGTGCTCGGATGATTAAAAGCCTACAGAAGTCCTAGTTGTAGCCTTATTTCGGCAAATTTTTATCAAAAAAATACCCTAACAACGGTATAGATATGCTTTGCAACAGCTACATTACCGCTTTAATAATTAGTATTGTAATTAAAAATTTTGATATAATACATTTTTATAACGGAACTGTACAAGAACATTTGACAAAAATTATATTGTAAGCATTTTTAATGTAACAAAGTACTTAACAAAAGGTTGAAGTGATGCAATGACAACAGACTTGTTAAATGTTAATTTGCAGTCCTTAATGTTTCTTTTTATGTAACGCAGTAAAAACTTCTAAATGTCATGATTGATATCTTATTATGTCA